TCTAGCCAATTACAATCGGAACTGTCTTGTTGTCAGCATTGTCATGTTTCACTCCAGGTCTGTATTCAATCTTGAAGTCATAAGCGCCAAGGGTTAATATTCATCTTGCTAACATCCCTTGTGGTTCACGAAAATTGATCAGCCATTTGAGAGCAGCATGGTCTGTGCGAATTATAAAAGAAAATGGCTAAAATGACGAACAGCCCACACCACGGCTAATAGTTCCCGGTGTGTAGCGCAGTATCTACGTTGAGACTGGGACATAGTCTTGCTGGCATAAGAAACCGATTCCAAAACCACTAGCATCGGTATCCAATATGAACTCGCCGATTGTTCTAGAAAAACTGAGAATTGGGGCTGATGTCAGACAGTGTTTCAGAGTTTCAAAAGCCTTTTGACATTGAGTACTCCATACAAAGGCAATATTCTTCCTGTTCAATCGAATAAGAGGTCCGGGAATTGTTGAATAGTCTTGAACAAACATCCGGTAGTAGTTCGCTGTGCCAAGAAAACTGCGAATATCGCTGACAGAATTTGGCGTTTTCAATTCTTTGATAGCCGCAACATTTCCAGGGTCGCAACAGACATCTTCAGATGAAATAACATAACCAAGATAAGAGGTGCTTCGACGGAAAAGTTTTAATTTCGGAATTTCAAGAGTATACCGGCACGGCGAAGTCTTATGAAAACTTCCCGAAGATTAGAGAGTGTTTAAGGACTCAATGATATCCTCAATACGCGGCAAGGGATATGCATCTTTGCAAGTGACGTCATTGAGCAATCTGAAATACTCGCAAAATCTGGTAGAACCATCTTTCTTAGGAACTAAGACAATGGGAGAAGAATATGGGGAATCACTTGGTTCAATGACACCTTGAGCCAGCATACTATCAACAGCTTCTTCGGCCATCTTCCCACGTGCCCACCCCAATTCGACGAGAAGCCTGCCGAATCGTATGTGGTGTTGTTGTGATGATCCTATGCTTTGCTGCTGAAGTACGGCCAAGTTCACCATTCACAAATCAAATTGACCAATTGTTCACGTTGACTCGGGGATAGATCTTCAACGGAATTGACCATGTCATGTAGATACTCTGGTAATTCAGAAGCTACAACCCCTTCGGATTCGTCGACTTGAATCTGAGCTACTAGTCGAGAGTGTGCAATACCCAGCAAAGATCCAGCTCTGATCTTAAGTTGTCTGCCTTTCTGGTTGACCGCTAGAATCGGAACAGTGGACCTTCCATAATCCAGACATCAGACAAATTGCTTTTCGGCCATGGGCGACTAAGTTGTGCAGGGATAACAACCTTAGAATATGGCGGTATCGTAACATCTTCCGGAACAGTTACACGGCAACACGGTACAGACTTTTCAGTAAACAGTTTGATTCCATGACCCTCTATCATCATGTGTCTAGTCTAGATGATAAGTAAAGAACGCAATCATGTTCTCGGAGATAGTCATACCTGGGGTTATCATATTTTTTTGACTTCAAAGCGGGACGCCTCCAAAGACACGACCCCTTAGCTGTGATCCTGTAACTTTACAGTTCCGATTTTACTACATAGGCCTACATTTAAAGTCATCCCGGCTGTCTTCATTGACTATATTGTCATCGAGAGTTCATGCGCATATTCTCTGTCGAAATTTCGGGTTCAGTTCGAAAAATAGACGCTAACGATACAAATGATCCGAATTTAGATTTTTTTGTACAGCAAAAGGAATAAAGAATAATGGATAGGATAGGATAGGATAGGATTTACATATTTATCCCGGGGGAGAGGAAAGCCGAGAAATATAGTCTGCCGTTTTCAAGCATTGAGAATTTACTTATTCGCCCAAGCATGCTTTCCTGTAGATAACACTTTCAAAAAGAAGTTGCTCAATGTTACATTCACGTGAACGTCCGAACAGGACCAATAAGAATTGATTTTACATGTGATACGTTAGCTAACAATGTTAGCGGGAAACAACGAAACAAACAAAATAACGCATTCGCCTTCAATTAGTATAGGCTAGCGTTGCGCTTCGCAGCCACAACAGTAATGAGAACATGTTCGTGTACTGTATTATGCTGGTTGGCTGAACGCATAAGCGGGACAATTAGCTGACTTGTCAGGACGGCGGGACAAGACGCTAAAAAGCGGGACGTATGGTAAGCCTAGTCATACCTAAGTTGGCGACAATCACAGTGCGTCGTGATACAAAAAAATCAATAGACAAATCAACCTCCAATGTACCCAGTGATAAAAAATCATGCCCACCCACTGCAACAAGAGATTCTTCGAGCGGTGCCAATTGTGCTTCCTTCCCACCTATAGCCTCAAAGATGGAAATGTCGATCAGAGTAGTCATCGCACCACTATCCACAAGAAAATTGAACGTCACTTTGTTATAGCCACTTTGGCGTTACTCAGCTGCTCACTAGTGACTCAAGTGGTAAGAATAAATATGGGCATACCGAATAAAACAGAGTTATAGACGTTGTCGTCTCAGTTGTAACTGACTCAGATGACTTTAAATGGTCGTATCGTTACCACCCAGTCATACCGAAAACTTTTGATTTACTTATTATGTTATTATTATTATTTTTGTATTAGGATAGGATTTACATATTTATCCCGGGGGAGAGGAAAGCCGATAAGACGGCTTATCCATATGGCGAACCACGGCCTCTCGTCCGGTTACCATTCCAAGTCGGGTATGGGATAAGTTATATTGTTTGTTTTCAGAAGCATGGACTTGGTGGTGGAGGAAGCCGTAACCGACCAGCGGTTACGTGAACCACCCAACGACGGCGAGGATCCTCTCGCACATAACCATCCCTGCATGGGAATCGAACCTGCGAACCCACGCAGAGTAATTAGAGGTGCGGTGGCGAGCGTATTCCTAACGCTTTAGCCCGTTGAGCCACACCGCTGCGCCATGTATGTATTTTCTCGTTGACGGAATGATAAATTCTCTTCCTCTCTCCTGTTTGGTTACCTGTCAATGTCGGGTACCCGTATGAGATCAGTTGGCCAGTTATTTGTTTCAGATACATGGCCCCGATGGCGGAGGAAGCCTTAACCTGGTAGCAATTACATAAACGTATGTATTTTCTCGTTGACGGAATGATAAATTCTCTCCCTCTCTCCCGTTTGGTTACCTGTTAATGTCGGGTACCCGTATGAGATCAGTTGGCCAGTTATTTGTTTCAGATACATGGCCCCGATGGTGGAGGAAGCCGTAACCGGGTAGCAGTTACGTAAACGTATGTATTTTCTCGTTGACCGAATGATAAATTCTCTCCCTCTCTCCCGTTTGGTTACCTGTCAATGTCGGGTACCCGTATGAGATCAGTTGGCCAGTTATTTGTTTCAGATACATGGCCCCGATGGTGAAGGAAGCCGTAACCTGGTAGCAGTTACGTAAACCACCATACGGCAGAGAAGAGTCCAGAAATCTTTACCGGTGCCAATACTGCGTACTATCCTATAGGAATTAGTTTAGAAGGGTCTCGTCCGCTTCTTTTTCTGACTGTTGGTGGAAGTTGACCTTGATGACCGTATAGTCGTATCGCTCTCTCCGGTCCATGCCAAAGCAATTCTATTGTTTCTACTTTTTTACTGCATTGATGACTGTATTTTTTGGGTAACAATATAATAAATCTCTCTCTCTCTCTATGTCTATTTTTTCATCGACCCGACCTGACCTAACACCAATCCCAGAAACATACACCAATCCCAGAAACATATGATGCCTCAATGATTTCCACTGGCGGCGAAGTCGTGCCGATAATTTTACCAAACTGATCAGACTCATAAAACGAGGGAGTCGCCTGTACTCCGGAGCCTGTAAACTGCTAAAACGTTTTTCAATAGAACTTATTGATGTTTAATTATGTAGTAATGGTATGACCACGTTGCCGGTAACGGTACGTCGATAAATACATTTTTGAATCAAGTTGTAATTATAGGTCTTATATTTGTCTTGTTAACCAGTCGAGTTTCATTTCTCCATATGCAGATATGCTTGAAATGTTCACCATCAGTCTCTGCCTGATGACTACCGTATCATTGTATATAGGTACAAGTGCAGGGGTGGGTGACAAACTGAAAAAGGTTAGGCAGTTACAGAGTTGGGAGGCACTGATAGTCTATAGACCATTGCGCGCTGACGGTATACCGTATCAGTATACCCGGTACAAGTACAGAATTAGCCGTCTGGTATAGTTTAGTACCTACCACATCCACTTCAAGTTGGCCTGGCTCAACAATTTTTGCATATGTCAATCCTAACCCCCACCTGACTACGGCACCGAAAAATTACGTCATTCCAACGTCACAGTGGCGTAATAAGGCCCACCGAAGTATGCGGATGGTCGTCCAAACCGCGTAGACGATCACCCGAAATCGAGCAAGCTATTTTTCTCGTCGCAACGATCACGATAGGAGTGAGATCGCCGGCTTTAGCAAATTTGTTATCGGCGGCGCAGATGCCATTTCGGGCGATCGTAATTATACTTTGACAATCCCTATGACGAGATGGTGACGTAATTTTTGGATGGCATAGTCAGTTGAGGGTTAGGAATAACATATGCAAAAATCGTTGTGCTACGCCCACTGGATGTACTTGTGGTACTAAACTATACTAGACCCGAAGTAGGTAGCCTATATGGATATTTATTACGTTTTGAGCGCTGTAAAATTGTAAATTCATTACAGTATGAAGAACATGACTATTTTACTTCCATGATTATGTTCCTGTTTGGCTAGAAGCAAGATATTGGTCCCTAGTCAAAAAAGCAAAGTGAAAAAATACTGATATCAGGATATTGTCACAGCTTACATGCTTAAAGTAGCGTAATACTGTAATATGTTTTGAATGAAAATAGGGCCATTTCAACATATGAGAGGTTATATACAATAAGCCTGCAATTTACTTTTTTTCTGAATAAAAGAATCAACTGATCTAATTTTTGGTTATTTCAGTATTTTGCATAAAACCATCAGAGACCAGAGAAAAATAGCAGTTTTTGTGTTTTATAATGTGTAAGATGTTGTTGCATTTTCAGACCATGATATTGCTGTATTAGGACGCATCTATGTTAAACTCATCAATGGACTACACTTCAGAACTTCTGGTTTTACATTGAATGGACAATTTTACTTAATATATATAATAAGCCCATAATATAATCTCACTGTCGAAATACTGTTTTACATATATTTTTGTGAAGAATATTGACATCCCACTATAGAAAGATGTCAGCAGGAATATCCATTATCGAGTTTTTGGCAGAAACCAAAGAAGATTTCAGCTCGCCAACAACTTCAACATTTACTTCCAAAATGTCACTTTGTCGATCCACAATATCAGCTCTTGAAGAGGTATGAAAAAATATTCATCTGATACTAATGGCTTTCTATATGGATCTAAAAGTTTGTAGTATAGCATCTAACATCGCAATAATATCAGTAATATTGTATTGCTCAATATATATAACCTTTCTTATAGAAACACTAGTTTTATAATTTATATTTTTTCATTTTCACTTTTTATCTATTTAATTGATGATATAGATCTGTTTACATGTTGAATCTTGATACTGATTCGAAATAACGTCATGGTCATGTAAACTACACAAATTTTTACAACTGCTGCATTAAAAGCTTTTTGTTGTTTTTAGAGTTTGGACTCTGATCGTTCAGCATTAAAAAAGATGAAGAATGCTGTGAAAGCCATGTACAACTCTGGTTCTGGTAATTTTTGCTTGTCTTCATAAATGCCTTGTAATATCAGTAATTCACTGTAATGAATATTAGGATAAGGATCTTATTTATCCCTGGGAAGAGGAAAGACGATAAGACGGCTTAACCATGTCGTGAACCATCTCGTCCTCTTGTCCGGTTACTGTTCTATGTCGAGAAATGGGTCGAGGAAATTAGGTGCGTTGGCACGATGAGCCCCACCGCTGCGGTGTGGATAATTACCTTTTCTGTATGCTTCTGGTTTGCCTATCTGTATATCAAGTTCTCATACAATAGAAATATACAGATAATAGTTTACCTAGTTAATAATGAATTTTTATTGCAGCACATTCGGCAAATGAAGGTGTATTTATTGAAAATTTGGAACGACTTGGTTCTCAAGCCATGAATATGAAAGAACCAGAACCGGATATTGGATCTGCTTTTCTCAAACTTGCAGTTTTCACAAAAGAACTTACATCACTACTGAAAAATTTGGTAATAATATCATTTTCACTGGATTTGCTATTTAGATTGTTATAGCTGAGATACAATCATTCATTTTATTCTAAACTTGCTGTTATTGTCTGTTCAATGATAGTTTTCTCTGTCCCAGCTCATATGAAATTCTACTCTATTTTGAGCAAAATATTTGACTATATCATTACAATATATATTTATGTATACATGTGTCATTGTGATATATCTTAGATCTGAAGAAATATGTATACTTTCTAAACAAAAGATAAAAGATGTTGCCATTCTCATTTATCATTTGACAACCACTTGATAAATGTTAGCAATCAAGTCAGTTCATTTAATCCCTGATAGTTCAACATATGCATAGACCTTTATACATCTAAATCAGTGGCCGGCAAACTTTATGTACTCGCGGGCCAAATATACCCATTTCCGGCAGTGTGCAGGCCGCACTAATTTCCGCCTGCGAACAATTTGCTACATTAAACTATAAATTATGGCGCACTCGCACCTTCTATTTAGTGCCACAGTGAGATGTGAATGTTGCCCTATTTAATATATATATTATTAAACAATACCTTGTTTTTATTTATCATCAATGTTCATGATGATTTTTTTCTTTGTCATGGCCAAAGCGTTGCAATTGCAGTCAAATTGTAACTTAGGTGCCCCGCAGTTCGTCGCCCAAATGACGATCTGACAAGCGAGTACGAAACTTCTTTTTAGTGTAATGCATTTAAGATAAAGTAGCGCACAGTAATATGTGCTTCCGAACGCGCACATTACACGTTTTGCACTGTCACACAGATGAGCAGTGGCGCAACCCCTGGTCTCGGGGTCAAATTTCGTATTTGCAATGACATGTTTCGTATTGACATTCAACATTAAATCCCCTAATGACTGCGATGCTGACTTGCAAACTGGTTTTGCAATGCGCAAGAAAAAAAAATTTGTCTATGCACGGCCCTCATCGCAAATTTCCCTCCGTTTGCAGACTTTTTTTCATATTTATAATAAAGTCGACTTATAATTACAACAAACATCAAGTAAACGACTACTTCTTACAAAAAGCGCTTTACAGCAGCACTTGTTACCACGTACATCCGTGTCGAGTCGATAATAAATTTATATTTAAATTTTTGTTTTATGCATTATATGGGCCATTCCAAGCAAAAGTTGAATTCCATCAATTTTTTTTAAAGTGTAGTGAAAGTAATTTTGTTGTATTTTTTATATCAAAAGACATTGGAAAATTTATTGGACTGCATTCCTTTCACCGAAAAAGTTAAAATTTCACCAAGGTTTTTGATGGTTTTTAAAAAATGGCCTAAAATGTAAAAATTTTGGTATAATTGACATATTTTGTGATGATTTGTGACACAAAGTGTTTGCTTGTGTGATACAGGTATTTCCTATGAAATGGACTCACTGAATTTAAGTAAATAAAGTTCAAATGTTTGCAGTGCTGTGGGACATTTCTCCACCCATTTAACGTTTTATTACCAGAATTTTGAGAGATGATAGAGGCCGCTGTTCCGAAGTGGAAAAATATCCTGTAGTGTCACATACAATATGCACATTATTGGCATGGATTTACAGTGTTACATTAGGTGAATTGAGCAACACATAGAGGGGTCCTTCAGCTACTGCACCAGAAAATATTATGAGCTCATGCTGTACTCTCGCAAAAATTTACAGCACAACTGTTAATGCATGGTGGATTTATCGTCCTGTAGTGTCACGCTATATTTTACTATATTTTTTATATCCACTAAGTATGTCTTGGGTGTAACTTTTGCACAATTTTTTCTCTATTCAATGAAGCAACTGATTGGACAATGACACAAAATATGTAGCTGAAAATGTAAAATATATTGCATCTAACAACATGAAAAATTTCAGGAATTGTCCTGAAGTGTCACTTGGAATAGCCCATATATGTAGTTCGGGGGCCACAAAAAATTAGTTCGCGGGTCGCATTTGGCCCGTGGGACGCAGTTTACTGACCCCTGATCTAAATATTTTACTGAATAGTTAATACTTTTATACATCATTACGATAGTTTGTAGAGTGCAAGGTTTCCTTATGCTTTATATCCAGTATTATCAACTAGATATACCATATAATTTTTTTCTGTGGGAGAAAAGTATCGATATAGATGCATGGATGTATTAAAATAATACGAGTGTGCTGCCCATCTGTTCTACAATTAATTTTTCATGTTCACACACTATTATAGACTCATGGATTTTATGAGTTAGAGTTAGATAAAGATTTATACGTGATAAATTTGAATCAGATCACTAAAATCAATACACTCGAATGACTCGATATTGTTAACTGAATCATTGTGAATTAAACAAGAATTCTAAACAATATTTTGATGATTTCTATAAATTTCTAAATAATAACTTTTTGAACTCTTTTGGACCCTCACACTGAGATATTCGAGACATATAAATTAATTTTGATTTTGGATCATGATAACATGTGAACAAATTTTTTTTTATTTTTAATTTGACTCTTGCACTGGCATATTTGCTATGGTTGGCGTTTTACTGTGGTTTACCTTGAACATGCTCTCAGGTGTTAGAGAAATGGCGAGCATTAGGTGACATAGATAGGGACATATGGTAGATTTTTTAAATACTCTGTGATACCCAAATTGATTGGCCGCTGGAATTGTTAAGTGAAGCGCAGTGGATAAATAGATAACAGAGTAAATATACCATTGTGGTTGCATTATTAAACACATGTTATTGGTTTGAGATTGTCACCAATAATTTGGTCAGTGTAATTTCAATACAATTTACTGATAGCATAACCTTTATTTGACATTTTGCAAGCATGCATAGCTCCTGTACTGAATATAGTTGTTCCAATTTCTTTTACAGTTGAACCAACATTAAAACAAATGAGATTATGATTAACCATGTATCTAGAAACATGGCCAGGCTTATCTAATTATGAGTCATACCTATAAACAGAATTATTTCCTTTGTACTAATTAGCTTGAGCTATTTCTGGACTGTTTTCGATTTCTGTATATTTTTACCAGCCCTACAGATAGTATGATTATTTGAAAGTATTTATCAAGTTAAAAATAGAGTATAGCTAAACAACACCGTTGCTATTTTCCCATTTCAGGTCACAAGCATTAACAACATCATAATGTTTCCTTTGGATTCTCTGCTAAAAGGGGATTTGAAAGGAATAAAAGGGGTATGGTTTCAATATATAATGATTTCAGATTCTTTTCCAATAAAAACTATATAGACTATGAAATTGTGAAAATTGGAGACCACTAGTAACTAGATTTCTGGTAATCATGTTAGCATTACAGATTAATCAACTTACCCTCCAATTCAAAAAAGTCATATTTCATGAGTTTTTGATGAGATTTATAATCAATTTCATGTAATACAGTCGGTTTGCGAAATTTTATTAAAAATAATCATTTGGTAAATTTTGAATGTGTGCATGGAGTTTAATAATGTGCAATTCAGCAGATTCTCTCATCAGACAATACAACTTTCAAAATTTTGTAAAGCTTTTTGTATCTGCAAACTTGTATGGAGATTTATTTTTATTTGTCTTTTTCTTTGTTATTGAATTGCAACAGGATATGAAAAGACCATTTGACAAATCATGGAAGGATTATGATACAAAAGTGTAAGTAAGCTTTTAGTGAATGTAATATTTACTGTAGTAAGTTTTTGCTAATTTGTCATTACTGTTTTGGCCGATACAAGGATAGTTTATTTTTTGGCTCCACTTTTCTCAGTCAAAGTATTATGAGAAAACCTCGCCAGCCTTAATAGTAAGTGTTGCATTTGTAGTTAAAATTATGAAATATGTTATTACATTGACTTCAACATGTTTTTAGTTTTCGATATTGGTAATAAGCTTTTATTGGACACGTAGTGGATCTATGGATCGCTTTGTTTTTATGTTCTTGTTCTTTGAGTTACTTCCTGTCGTTGTGAAAAAGTCGCTTTTCTCCTTGATTATTGGACCAATTGCTTTGAAATTTTCAGTGGTTAAAGAAGGTATTTTTCGCTAGAAGGCTTTTACTTATTCCTAAATTTTCTATGAATCCTGTGAGATCTGATGTTTCATCCAAAATTTTTCAATTTTTACTCACAGGAACACTGTTCTTAACTTATTTTAAGTGGTTCTGCGATCAAATATTAGTCTTACAGCTTCATGTACGGTACTGGTAAGTTACCGTACCGCATATAATTTTCGGGAATTGATGATAATTTTGTACTCATACTCTCAATACTCTCTTGTGTTGATATAACAATAATAACATGCTATGACTAACTGTGAAGTTCGACTAACAAGGATGGAATTTTTTCTGTGTAACAAATGTAACGCCGCCTTCACAGTTAGCTTAATGTTTAAAGCCTTCATACCGTCAGCAAAAATATTTCTTGGTATTTGAATAAACATTTCAAAGTAAAAAGTGGGAGTGACACTTTATATATCCTATGTTGAATTTTTTTGACTCATGCTCATTTTAATTAACATAGTGTGGTTGATTAGTCATTGTAAATGTTGCTGAATATATCTTCGCATCTTATTAGAAAATTACAGGATAAAAAACGCAAATGAAAATGAAATTGCATTTCATACGAAAGTCTTAATTGGTCTCATTGATCAAGCTATTGTAAATAAAATGTGCGGTTCGAACATTTTTCATTTATTGATTGAGATAGTTTTACTGTACCGGTCTTGAAACATGAAATCTAAATACTGCTGGCAGTCATACTATATATTCGACTATTATTTTTGAGGTGTTTTTGCTAATATATAACTAAAATCATTGACTATGCAACTGCATACCATACCGTTCATTATAACCCCATCAATAATAATCTTGCTCCTGTATTTTTCATGCAGTAAAACTGTGGAAAGAGAGAAACGCCAACTTGCGAAAGAAGCCGGAATGATTAGGAATGAAATAAGTGGTGGTGAGGTATGTATAGTTTACATTGACGTATGTATTTTGTCTAAATGAAGCTTTAACTTAACCTACGGAATCAAAATGGTTTTTGTTATTTTATACTTGCTTAAGTCTGAAGTTCATTTCAAGTCTGAACATGGTGAGGGCCAGAGATTTTTTAGTGGGGCATAAGAAAGTTTCAATCGTAATAACTTCCATGGGGCATTAGAAGCTGAGTTGGGCGTTCATGAAGCCGTCATGCTCACATGTCAAAAAGAAAGAGTGGGCTCTGTTTACAGTGGTACTTTATTTTACTGAAGTGAGCTTTGGCCACTTGTTTTCAGTACCAATACTAATTAGGACAAACCAAAGGGCTGTAATAAAGTGGGAGTAATGAAGAAAACCTTATATAGATATCGTTATCCTGACGTTGACATTATCACTATGCGTTTTGCATAACATTGCTTTTAAATACTATATTGAAGTGTCAATTTTGATCTAAAATGAAACATTATTTTATTTGTATTTTTATTAGATTGCAGAAGAAATGGAGAAAGAGAGAAGAATGTTTCAATTACAAATGTGCGAGGTATGATACACTAGATAGCCTAATATTTTGGAGAATTTGATTTTATAGACAGAGATTCGCATAGCCTACTTGTTGTTATAAGAACATATTTTTAAGCACGAAAACCTTATCTGAATATACTGTCCTGATAAACGTGTAGTTGTTTGTAATCATGTTCATATTATCTTTCTGTATACTACTTAGTTGAAAATAACTCTTAGAACTTTTTCAGATTGTTTTCAGTTACAATATTTATCGTTTCATTTTTTATTTATATCACTATGGTATCATCATCATATTTTGCAAAATCATTTTCTGCATGTTGTGTTCATCCTTCATCTTTATGTATGAAAAACTGCTACAATAACAACAATTTTGTTTCAGTATTTGATAAAAGCAAATGAAATTAAAACGAAAAAAGGCGTGGATTTATTGCAACATCTCATTGACTACTATCATGCGCAAAACACGTAAGATTCTTTTATATTTCTTCAAATACCAATATTTTGTTCTGTTATCGTTTCATTTGTCTGAAAAAAAATTGATTGGAAAATATATGGTTTATTAGTGTGGAGATGTCCACATTTATATTTTTCTTATATTCTTAACTTTTTTTTTGCATTTTTGCATAAACAATCAAATGAATGGGAAATATTACTTAAAAGCATTAACATTTAAATTCTAAATCTTCAGAGAGCGTCAATTTCAGATTTGATAAAACTGAATATTTAAAATGCCTATTTTGCATATTGTTGTCAAATTCTCAATCTTTATGATCTTGATTTGTAAGTCTGGTAACATTCTAAAAACAATTCAATACTCACCAATATGTCCGGTGTCATTATGTAAAAAATAGCCGAACCCCATGCAACAAAAAACATCAGAGTTGCTCCAAGTAATCCAAATGTAGTAATCCATCGCACACCAGGGTTATCACCAGGTATTAGCACTACTTTGTAGGGAGTATTCATTTCCTTCATTTCTTTTAGTCTATAATAAGCTCAAGCTTAAATGTGTATACTGTTTTATTAGATCTTGTGTGCTTTATATTGGGGCAAAATTCTGTACAACCTTCCCTGTAAAATTATTCCGTATCAAGATCAGTGTGTTTATTTCATATACCAATGTAAAATGCCCACTCCTTCATTTAAAAAAATAAATTTGAAAATGAAAGTGTCGTGCAATCATTTTGAATACATTCTGAATTTTTTTTAAAAATGCAGATGAGGAAGATATTCTATTCGCATAACCAAATATTGTAGATTGGGAATTTTAATATAATGGGACACAGTTGAGATAAACCATTTTTTCGAATGATTTTCCTCCACACAGTGTCATCTGCTGAATGAAGTCTATTTTTTTCTGATCATTATATGTGAAATGTACAAAATGAAAAATTTTCTAATGAAAATATTCTAAATCTAAATGGTTTTTACAATCAAGAACTTGCTGCATTCATTTTCTAGATGCTACAGTGTTGAAAAATTTTTCCATAACTTATTTATGAATTAATCGTCATGATGACTTGACTTGACTAAAATAGGGTTTATATCAGAAAATGGGTATCAATTAAAAAACATATCAAAACAACATAATGAGTTCATTATACTTTTTTAGGGATTATTTTTTAGGAAATTATGCACATTGTGAATTATAATTTACTTTTATGTCCAACCTTTCCTTTTTTCTCTTTACATCATATATTTCCAATCCCTCGTTTGTTATTTCATACAATGATTTTCTGTCTATTTTTCTATATTGTGCCTTTTCTGCCTCTGCAGCATCTCCTACGGAGCAAAGATTTTTTCTTTATTTTTAGGATTCAAATTTTTATTCGGGTAATTTAGTATTATTTTGGCAATAATTTACATAAACTAAATTATGAAATAAGTACATTGGGCTATTAAACAAAATTGCAACATTCACCTGACTCTGAAACCTGAAACCAATTTTTTATTGGAAAATAAAGTTGATAAATGGGTTCAACACATAACGTACTGCCCCACCAAGATCTCTCATATGGTTATCACGCACAACCGATATGAGAATAGTTCCTAGAAGTGTGGACTTTAGCCATTAAGCTGTAAATAACCAGAGTCAGTCATACATCGTCAATCAATTTAACTTTTAGAGATATGTGGAATTTCTAAGGTACATTAAATAGTTTTTGAGTATCCATTTCTATAATAACAAGAAATTAAGTTCCTATTAAATAATAATGAAAAATTATTTTAAAAAAAGTGGAAGGGTATCGAAAAGTTCAAGGCAACTTGTAATGGTCATACCTTTTTCATTGTATGGAGTTGTTTCATCCTTGCTTTCACTGCTTTTTCTTTTTTTGTCTTTTTTGTTGTCATATCCCTGGGAAGGTGAACTATCAGATTGTACTACTGCAGTCTTATATTGATCTGCATCATTCTCATTTTTCTTGTCTTTTCTCTTTTTCTTGTCTTTGTTTTTGTGTTTTTCATGTTTTTCGACTACTTCTTTATTCTTTTCATGTTTTCGATTTTTCCTATGTTTTTTATCAATTTCCTTGTCATCTATCAGATCTTCTTTGTACTTTTCTGATTTCCCATGTTTATTTTGACCATCTTTTTTAGGACTTTCATCGTTTTTCATTTTTTGTTTTTTCTTTTTTGTCCTTTTCTCTTTCTCCTTTTCATTCTCTGTTTCTAATTTATTCATTGTTTGAATTTCAGTACTAATTGGTTTAACTCTTTTTTAGCTATTGGTCCTCTTTCAATGAACGTAATAAAATCTCAATTTTTAATCTGATTTTCAGATTTTTCAGCGAAGGGTGTCGAGTTACAGAACATTTCAAATCATATGCCACTGAACTTTCTGCAAATTTGCATTCTGTGAGTTGGTTTTATATCTCATTGTTGTTTATGATGTCACAATCATTCATATTTTTGGATTCTTCAAGATTTCCAAGTAAACCTAGTGCAACCATTAATTCATTCGGTGAATTTTAATGAAAAATCATTTTAATATTTAACAATAATTCAATGAGATGGTGTAGTTTTAAAATATGTGCAATTAGTAATCACGGCCGAAAGTGATCCATCACAAAAAAGTGCTGATATTTTTTATATTTTATAGTGTTTTTTGAATATATGTCGTGCTATCTTGATTTTATCTCTTCTGAAGCAACTATCAACTTCGAGGGAGTGGTTTAGACATTGCCTTGGTAAACCCATGTGAAGCAAGTTACCACAGTTGCTTAAAATGCAAATTTAATTTTACATACTTTGGTCATGATGTCATATGTATGTATGTATGTAAGGTACCAATGTTGTTGGTAATGGCATCTGCCAATTTCATAATCAGCTGAATTGCCTGTGATCTATTCATACACTTTTATAGAAAAAAAAATAAACTCTGGAAAATGGTACCATAATATGATAATACATGTGAAAATGAATTTAATTGTCTTCTTCCACAGATTCGTCAATCACAAGATGAGGAAAGAAGGCAACTTGTTGAATTACGAAATTTACTCAGAACTTCAGTCGGTGATTCAAATTCTTCCAAATCCTCAGCCAGTGTTTATAATCTTCATCAACTTCAGGTCTGAGTTTGCGATTTGTTATTGATGTGCTTATACACAATATATATCAAATGATTTACAGCTTATTCATTTCATTAAACATAAACAGCAGACCAGGTTCTTTTTTCCTTCAATAAACCTGATTATTTGACTCGCAGGGATTAAAAGAATTTGGTAATGAAAAGGTTGGCTATTTGATGAAGCGCAGTGAAGGATTGCGAAAGGCTTGGCAAAAGCGGAAATGCACAGTTAGTGACGGATATCTCACTATATCTCATAACAATGTGAGTTTTATTCAATAATTTGACTGTTAATATGTAATTTAAAGATTATATTTTTAAATTTATCCCAGGACATAGAAAATAAGCACACTTTGCTAAAGTATAGATAGATATAGTATACTTATGTATATAATATATATATAATTAAAAATGAAGTTGTATTTTCTTTTCCTGCTCAATTTCATATCTATTAATTCAAAAAGTTCTGATTTTGTTACAATTTTGCAGGTTTTGACATATTGAAAATATATATCCTTTTTCGATACGGTGGTACTGTATCTTTCTGAAAATTGTGATACTTGTTTTTAAGGCAAATAAAGCTCCAGTGAAACTCAACCTTCTTACAAGCCAAGTGAAGCCAGTTGCTGAAGACAAGAAAATTTTTGACTTAGTGTCTCGTAAGAAATAGTAAAATTTATGTACCGCAGCCTGGGTATTAACATCTTGCATTCATTTTTTCAAATCTTCGAAACTTCAATGTTTTTTGATTATCCAAAAGACCATAGAAATATTGCTGTATGTATTATTGTGCGCAGAATGTCTATAAACAAGTCATATGAATCATGAAAACAATGGTTGAATGTAGATTCGACACTGTTAATGTCTTTAGAACAATATCTTTTTTTTTACAGAATAGAGGTGGAAAAAATTCCACTTCCTAGCATTGATCATTCGAATACTCAAAATTTAAATATTTTGCTACCGAAAATTTCATTAGTTTCAAATAAGAATTTTATACGGGCTGTATTTCCACTTTGTTCCTCAAAATTTCACATTAGCATCGATATATATTTCAGTCAATATGAATTCGAAACAAACTATTTGATAAAAGTTTATGCATTTTGTAATTAGGCCTTATTTGAATACTGTTTTATTATCGGTGATAACACGCATAATGTATTTCAGATAATCGAACATACAGATTTATGGCTGACGATGAATCAGAATCAATTGCGTAAGTGTCAATCTTTTTTTTTCAAAAAGGTGTTAATATTACAACTGAATATTCCAAGACTTTAGGATATCCAATTTGTGTCATGAATATGACATCCAGTAGTTGGCAGTTATAAAGGTGCCTAATAATATGAGACTACTATAATAGTAGCAAACCAATAAAGCAATACTTGTATATATCTCTATTCTCTACTCTTTTACTGAAGATATCATCAAATTCGTATCAGGTAGAGAATTCTGTAATTTTATCATGACTGAATGTAAGTTAGATTTGATATGGTAAAATTGAAAACAGATTTCTTTTTATGCCACATCAAAGTATTTTGGTTGGTTTAAGCAAATAACAGTATTCATGATAGTGTTCTGGACAATACTGGATATCTAATTTCAAACGCTCACTTGCAATCTTAGATGGGTTTCAGTCATAAGCAACAGTAAAGAAGATGCTTTGAATCGTGTATTTGGTGAAGAAGGAAGCAGTAAGCAGCAAAACTCTGGATTACGTGAATTAACAAAATCAATTTTAGATGAAGTGAAGCATTTGACAGGAAACGATAGATGTTGTGATTGTGGAGCTGCAGGTATTTATTTTAAATTATCGTGCAAGCTGAAATAAAGCTGTAAGACAAGTAATCAATTCCTCAATATATGAACATGAGTGTGGCACCTACCCCATATACATATCATTGAGAACTTACTTTATGAAACATCAGGCACAAATTTATGAAATCCCAAATATTTGGATGAAACAGTTGTCTTACTTGTAGACTAGTGATAATTTCAAAACAGAATAACAGTCGTCCAGCAGACACCTGATCTTTAATAACAAATATAAATATTGAAGAGATTGCAGAAGCATTTTCAAAGACAGTATTTCACCAAAGCTAATTTAAGTCTGCGCTGTGTTTCATATGATCCAGATTTAGATCAGATACATTCTAATATTATAGCATCTGTAGCTCTGTGAATGTTAAACTTTTTCAACATCTTGATTAAAATGTTTATATAACAATTTAAACTTTTCTTAAAATTTATGGTAAAGACAACAATGCAAAATGATTTGAATTTTAACATTATTTGCAGAACCAACCTGGTTGTCAACAAATCTTGGCGTTTTAACTTGTATCGAATGTAGTGGAATTCATAGAGATATGGGAGTCCATATATCAAGAATCCAATCTATTACGTTAGATGAATTGGGAACTTCTGAACTACTGGTGAGTTGGAATAATAGTGTTCAAAGTAATGCAGCATAGTACTTTGTACATTGCTTGTACATTATTTTAAACAAATCAGTGTGTGTGGGATTAGAAAAGGGTATTGGTTGAACAGCATAACCTACGATCTACTAAGACAGGGGTGTGCAAACTGCGGCCCGCTGGACAAATGCGGCCCACAAGGAAATTGTGTGCAGCCCACGGAGAAGTGCCAATTTTGAATGGTGTGCCTGCAAAACAAGTTTTTAGTTTAGTTAATCTAGTATATGCGAGCAATTTTAATCTCTTTGCGTCGCAAAGCCTATACCAGTACCTGAGTTTCTCACTGAATTCGTTTAATAAAGTCGGTGTGTCAGTTTTCTTCAGAGAAATTTACCCAGTTACTTACAGTTATCTGGCTCTCCTGTAAAAAATTGCACACCCTTGTACTAAGATTTCTAGGTCCATGTTTGGCTGTTAACTTTAGGATATTTGAATGAGATATTGATAATTATGAACCCAATATATTATAACATGCTCTACATTTTGATATGTAAAATGTTATATCATTCATGATAATAAGAGTCGAATTCTACTGAAAATGAAGTAATTTTGACCAATTCGAATTGTTAAAAAATATTGTATAATTTGAAGTTTTGATTTAATCACTCTTTATTAATAATATTTGCTTATTTCATATTATCGAGTTTAAAAGATGTTTCCCATTTTAAATTTTCAAACATCCCTAATTCTGTATTGTCATGTCTTGACAGAGCATAACTTAAATATTTAGATTATATTTTAGGTTGTGCTTGAATAATCAATAGTAACTCAATTTTCCTCTTCTCCCTTATTCACGATATATATATATATATGTGTGTATTTGCTTCTGAAGTGTGTTATATATTTGCCATGCTTGGACATGGTTTGATTATGTTGAGATTTAAACTGAATAAGGCTAAAAAAGTAACTGAAAAATTGGAAATGTTACCCCACCTTCATCTAGATGGATATATCGTTCTATAATTATAATGATGTTTTATCCTCATCTGTTTCAATTCTCACTATCCCTGATTTTAATACTGAATTTCAGGTTGCTAGAGCTGTTGGAAATGCAAGTTTTAATGAAATCATGGAGAGCCAATTAGATCTCAGAGACAAGCCTACACAAGAAAGTGACATGTAATTATCTCTTTAATTTTATTCGCCCTAATTTTAGCATTTCCCTCACTTCTGAATAACTAATCACTTTTGTTTAATTATTCCCACCCTGCTGTTATTATTTAATGTGTTATGTGTTATGCACTAACATCACATTTCTTCCATTTGCTTGCCTCCATTTTCTTGAGCTGATGAAATTCAGACATGACCATCTTTCCTGTGTTTTTAACAGTTTTCTTCACTAGTAACCCCTAGCAAATTCCTTGCTTGATAAGCTGCTACATAAATAACATTATTCTCATTTTGAATCTTCTTTCTAAGAAGTTACTGAAATAAGCTCGTTCAATTTTTTGATAGTGATTATGTAGCCTATGTAGTATCACCCATAACACAGATTGATAACTGAAAGTTCAAATGGATATGATCAGGGAAACAACTGTGACTTGTGAATTCTACATAAAATATCCCTATCTTACTCGAATCAATTATTTATTTTTGAGTCGAAGCAATATTTTAAAAGTATAATTCAAGATGAAGCAAATTAATGTAATGATCAATACAATATTACCATATTTGAACACGGTACTGAAAAATTGTTCCAACTATTTTGGAATTTCCCTCTTTTCACAAATACTTATTCAATATGTTATCACATCCAGGGAAACAAGAAAATCTTTCATTCGTGACAAATATGAAATTCATCGTTATGCTATGCATACATGCATGGATGATCCCGATAGACTTCTAGAAGATTTAATGCAAGCAATTATATCAAAAGATATCTGTGCATTATTACAAGTTTTTGCTGAAGGAGTTGATTTAAGTTCACCACTGCCTGGTTATGTGAGTACATGATGCATTGATGCTTCTCGCATGATTTTTTATTTTCTTATCAGTATTAGGTTATATGCAAAATCATGAGATAATTATATTTTTTTTATATATAACTATGATAATTAACATAACCAAAATGGTTATGGTGCTACCAGTGAGTCGCAGTGAAAGCGATATGTCCAGCAATCTTCTTGCTTGTAAAATTTCCCATAAGATTCAAATCAAACCCTGTTTTTACCCCGGGAACTCAAACAGGGTAATCAGCATCCAGCAGACATGTTTTTACAAAGTCAATATTGTCATTATATGCTAATCCAATCAAGCCATCTTGCTAGATTGACTTGTTAAATTGAGTTCATTATTGGCAATAAAATAAGCAAAACTTTTATATTTTCTTTTTCTAATATTTTTCAGAGCAACGGTGAAACTGCATTGCATTTGGCTATAAAACAAGAAGACAGATCAAGTCTTTTTATTGTTGATTTTTTGGTTCAAAATTCTAGTGCAAGTCTAGATCGTCAGACAATATCTGACGGCAACACACCATTACATTTGTGTGCCGAATATAACAAATCCGAATGTATGAAGCTACTTTTGCGAACAAGAGCAAGAACTGACTTGAGTAAGTTTTTCTTTGGAATGGCACATTGACTCTCATGATTGATCTTTACTGCGTGCTTCCTGCACTGGGGTGTTGTTTTGTTAATTACTACATAGGAAACATCACATGTAGCATTATGCTGGTTAAATGTCAAAATTTTTAAGAAGAGTATTCCAAAATATCAAACTATTTGGGTATGCAATGCCTACACTCAACTTCACTTCAACTGTTTTATTACACATTAGCAACTGAGGTCAGCAGCAATTTTAACAGATTTGCCGATGCCAATTTGTCATAAAAACTCTTTAAATCAAAACATGCTTCGGTATTGGAAATTGAATACTACTCATTACTCTGCATAAAATGAAGGATTCACAAACCACATAAATTTTATCACGGACTAATGTTAGACGGTAAAGTATTCTTTGTTTTTTCTTTTCAGAGAACACTGCCGGTGAAAAACCAGTTGATACTGCCCGTAGAACAAGAAACTCCTCATGTGAAGAAATATTAACACAAGCTGCTTCTGGAAAATTTCACCCAATTGTTCATGTAGATGTGGATTGGAATTTCTCATTTGTGGTATGTGCTAATTTGGATTATATTTAGTATGAGTTATTTTATTGTAAGAATGTAAAAAAATCACTTGTAATCATAGTGTGACGAAGAGCCATCAGGTGTATTCTAAAAGTTTGGAAAGTGCCAGTTTAGTATGTTTAAACAATTCTTACGGTTCGGTTACCCTCCATAAATGCGTATATTGCCTCTAGAGCTGCCCTGCCGAAAGTGCGTCCTGATGTTATAAAGTTATAAAATTGTGTTGAAGTGTGTAAATGTTATTAAAAAATAGATGCAGGTCATCGAGAAGTTGGTATTTTGTTGCTTTGTATCTTGTTTCAAAGGACAATACAGGGCTGAATATGTAGTTTCTGAAATAAAATATTTTTTTACAAATTATGAATTAATCTGTGGCTCTCAAAAGAATTGTAATGGATAAACTTTAAGCACCCGTGTTCCGCCGCATGTTCACTTTTTCACTTTCACCATGGACTTGCAACCTTGCTTTGCGCAAAAGTACAAACATTTTAAGTTTAAATGTTGTATTTCTCAGGAGGAAGACGATGAATTTGACTTTGTTGCTGACAACAGTGATGATGAACTAGATGGCCAGACAGGTCAAGAAAAATCGGCAACGTTGGGTCCTCATTATAACAGTCCTTTTAAATCTGGTCCTGGTTCTCATGCTCGACCTGTTAGCGCATTAAATCCCATCATGCCAATGGTTAGTTGGATTTTTCATTTTTCAATTGATTTTTCAGGATTCTTCGAAGTATTCAGTAAATATGAGGCCTGAAAATATCAGAGTTTTGTTATCAAACGGCCTATGGTCATCCTTTACTTATTAATTGATTTAGATGATGATATGGTTTGTGGATTTGGTCAATGTTTCAATTTTTCAGAATTCGTTGAATTTGAATGATTCCAATTAAAAAAAACTTTGCGGGTTTGATAGACCAATCACCAATTCAAATTATCTTTGATTTTTCAATCTCAGATTATCGAAAGTTACCAATTTTGCTTAAAAAAATTCTAACAAATCAGGACTTCTAGTTTGTCTAATTTCATAGTAATTTTTCAAGAAAATCTGATTTATTTGATATTAGATAAGCCTCCCTCATTTATTTGTCAATTCTCTATTGATTTCCTCATTTAACTTTTCACAATGATTTTCAATTCAGGGTTCAATGAGCACACCTGAAAACAGTGTAAAACATAGACAAACTTTCAGAGATCGTCAAAAACCTATTGTTCCGAGTTCGATACACAGTCCAAGTGCTCCACAACCACCCCCTCGACTGGATAAAGTTATGCATCCTAGTTCATCAGTACAGAACATTTCAAGATCAAGAAGTAGAACTGTAGCACCAACTGCAAGTCTACAAGAACATAAACGAACAAGCTCAGACTCGAGATCTAATTTTTCGAATGTTTTGCCATCTAGCAATCAACAGAATCAAAAACAACATCCTGGGATTACTAATGCATTAGGTATGAAAATATTGCTATATCTACATAGAGGTAAGGTAACTATTAATTACATACATAATACATAATTGTCATCTACAAAACAACAAATTCTGTGTGCAATCCAAGAGTATTATAACTCATTTGTTACATGAAAACATGGACAAAAGTTTAGATTACTATCTTTATATTGAAAACCACTGCATGAGCTTTCTCAATTCTTATAGTAAATAAACATTTTCTAATGTCAATGTTATAAAGGAGAAAGGTTGGCTGATTGTAGAACATAAATGCCACTGTATGAGCAGACCATAGCAAAAAGAACAAGAGTACTTAGTGGGAATGTTTAATCTTTTATCTTGTCCAAAGTCTTAAGAAATTTGATTTTTGAATGTGAAAATAAAAGTCAACATGTTATATCTTCTGTTAACAGAATCAATTTTACAAAACAGAGGACCTCCGGGCAGAGGCGGTCCTCCACCACTGCCACCCCACAATCCAACTCATAACAACCTTAATAGGAACAAGCAACCCCAGATTGCCCCAAAACCAGAACCTAGAAGGTTAGTATCGGTCTAATTAGTAGGAGAAATTGTAGGCACCCGAAGATTTTCTGTGATTCTGTGTTTCATCCAGAGCTATACAGTCAGAATCAGCATATTTTTATTGATATCTGAGCCAGAACTGTATTTTCAACCTCCTGGAGCTGGAATTAGAATTGAAAATCTTGAATTAGTCGGACTGGAGGAATTGAAGACAAAATTGTCAGTAGAATCTCAAAATGCTTTCAAAATGGATTTCATACAGCATATGCCAAAGTTTTATCAAAATTTGGATAGCTGGAATTTGAATCAAACTTTTCCTTTTATCTGTCCAGCCGAAGTCAAAATCAAAATTTTGTGAACCTGCAGTCAGGTGTAAATTATTTTCGACTCTATAGCCCTGGTTAGATCTATGGATACTTCTTGATTGAGGAGATTTCTAACCCATTCCTGTTTATTGATATAGTTTACTATTACAATATAATCATATATTATATAATTAAAAATATCAGGATTACATTGTCCAATCAGATATTTTTGCAGATGGTTATGTTTTAATTTTTTTAATATGTCATGATCTTGATATTTTTGCACTTTTGTCGATTTTAGAGACTCGATGGACAATGAATCGAGCGGCAAAACAGGTAATCTAATTTATTTTCTAATCTGTGCTGGAATTATTCTGGGGTGCTTATGCTGTAATGCAGGGGGCACCAAACTTTTTTGACCGCGGGCCGGGTATGACTCAAACTGTTATGAAACGGGCCGGACAAATATATTTGTCAGTACAATACAATAAATTCACAAATCTCAAACTAACATGCACAACTCCAGCGTTTATTTGCGACGATCTTTCGGCGGTGTCAAGACCGTTGCCAGAATAAAATCCTGAAATAATCTCAATATTCCATAGATGTGACGCAGATCGAAAGATTAGTGATTGATATGTGTTCTTTTTTATATTTATTGCAGTTTTTATCAAAAAAGTAGTACAATCCTTATGGAAAAAATTGGCCTGGGGTGGTACTAAAATACCGTTATCTCTGTTATTTATTGACCGTTTTTTTTTATAAACTTGGTATTGTTTTCTTATTTTCACTCAGATCTATCCAATGGCGCAGTTTTTATATAAATCGGATAAACTTTTTTTGTAACATACCCACATGAATATCTGCATTTATGCAGTATAGAATAGGGTTGCCATACCGTCCGGAAAATTCTGGACATGCCCGGAATTTAAGGTTAAATTTTGCGTCCGGGAAGAATTTAAAAATGTCCGGAATCCAGAATTTTACTGCTCCTGCAATCTTACTATGCACACTGCTAATACAGAACATTGTTATTTCGTACCGCGCGCATATTTTTACTACGAAGTCATGAAAATAGTTATGCACCGTCCGGAATTTTGCTTTTTCAAATATGGTGACCCTAGTATAGAAGTTAGTCTGAGTTGTGAAATTGGAGCAGTACGCGAGGGATGACAGTACTGTTAGCGCAAAATGCACATTCGAAGTTCTTTTTAGCACAAGAAACGTAAGCAGTTTCGTCGAAAGCACGCGCCACGAGTAAACGAGTGCATCTTTCGCAGAAAGCGTTGCGTACCGGTATGAAATTTTGGCCTATCACAGCTATTTCTAGACTAATTTTTCATTACTACTACAAGTACAACATTAAAACTACAGCTTCTCATGAGGCAAATGATGATTGACTTGTTTGATTCATACAAAAGTGTCTGAGCGGATGCGAAAAGACCTATTATTACGTCACTTTTCTGCATCTTGCTGATTGGCCAATGTTACGAAATAAACAAGAAAGACGAGGCTCAGGAAAATTTCCCTTGGAAAAAAATTTCGCCATTTTTGCGTGTTATTGCGGGCCGGATAAAATGACGCCGCGGGCCGTAGTTTGGTGACCCCTGCTGTAATGTAATGAATCTAGGCGAAATGGTAATTTTTATTTCCATCTCCTGTTTTACTAAAAGCTTCTTAGTGACATTAAATTAATATTTGATTTCGACATCTCTTTATATGTTTTGTGATATTTCTGGGAATGTGTTAATATTTTGAGAGGTGCAAATACTCCAATGCCTTAGTTGTGTCATAATGATCCACCAAGAATAATTTATTTTCCTGCTCAATCTTTACCTACTAAGCGTATCTTAAACGAAATTTGGTAAGAAGTTTTAGCCTAAAATTCCTTGTTACACTCAAGCAAAATCTATTTGTCTAAGCATGTGTTTCAAATTGTTGTAATCCAACAACAGATATTAGTAACACATACTTTGTCAAATTATTTCTTCAACAAACCTCAATTTGCATGAATGTATTTGAAATTATATTTCAAATGCATCTTTATTAATATTAACACATTAATTCAAATTTAAAACAATTCCTTTCTAAGTCGAACATTCCAAATCCAACAATTCCATTATTTTCATCAATTTGTCCTTTTTTAGAACATAATATTCCTGATTAATGTTAATGCTACTAATATAATGAAACATTTAAGTTCAAGGAACATCACAAAACTAATTAATTGCAATACCTTAAATTTTCTTGGCAATGATAAATAGCTTGAATAGTTGTTGACTTTGTTGTTTCAGTAATTTGTTTATTGGTAGATATTATGCAATATTGAAATGAAAAGCTATTGCTGCAATGCTGCCGTTTTGTATCAATATTTTTTGATGCGATTATGATGTGAATTTGTGTCAGCAGTTCTAATTTACTTCTACATTTGTTAACTTGCTATATAAAACTGCAATATGCTTTTAATTTTATAAACAAACAAACCTATATTCAAATGAATATTTCATTTTGTGAAATGAAAACTTGGGATGATTGAAAAAGATTGTGTTTCTGAAATATAAATGATGAATTGTATATCAGAGGGCCCAGGAATGGAAAACAATTGCAATGCTCAAATATGTGGACACTAAATGTTAATAAATCAAAAGATTTGTAATGAATACCATATGGATATTTTCCTGTGTTTTGATCGGGCCTGTAATTCTCTGAGAATATTAGGAAAAAATAAAAGCAATAGCCTACTATCGTCTTTTCCCGTTTTCAAGTACTGAATATTGGAACATAAGTCTGTGAGAAAAGTGATTTTTCAACAACGACATTTTACAAAATCAGTATCCACAATTTGAGTATTTCAAAATTGTGCTTATTTCGTGAACATATTAACCACTTTTACAGAGTAAAGATTCGAAAGTGATTTATAAAAAATCCATTACTCCCTTTGTGTGTCTAACTATTAACGTAAAATTTGTTTTATTTTTGTTCGCCGGTGCTTGAGCAATCAGCACGTTTTGATACTTGCAGTAGTAACCATAAGTTAATTTTTTGTGCAGCGAAAAAGTACTTGATTAAGAAATATAGTATGCTGAAATCTAGGAGAAAACCACGATCGTCATCTGATATTGGTAAAATTATGATCATGGTTTCAAAGCCAGTCAATCCTCATGCCATGGATTTTGTCATTTTTTGTTGACATGCATCCAATTTTTGTTCGATCATCAAAGTATTATTTTAAGATAAATGGATTCTTACAAAATGCTTTTATTTACATCATGTTTCTAAATTGATTTTTAAGTATAAGAGTTTGTCAACATCATATTTAGTTTTGAATGGTATGTAAACGTTACAAAGTTTTGAAAGTGTACAATATTTTGTTGGATGTGCTTGTTAGAAAAATTTTCTAAAGCAAATATTAATGGTGTTGGCGATGGGTTATACTGGTTACTGATATTGGTAAATGGTAATATATTGGTGATATATTAGAGTTTCTGTAATTAAGTAATTAATTAAGATGTGGCCTTAGTAATGTTGCACTTTACCAGAGACGCAGATAGTCATAACGTTCTTTATAATTTTGTCGATACTAATGCCTTATGTTTGGTATTCTTGAAAATTTCTCGAATCTGTTGTCATGATATGATTTATTTTTTGTTTTGCTCGTTCAATGTCCTTCACTGAAAAATGTAATTCAAGAAAACAGGTTCTATGTTGTCGCATGGTTATTTTTTTATTGCCTCATCATGATATTAATTCATGTTATTTTATTCGTTCAAATTTTTTTGCATGTCATTATTCATTTTTCATGATAAAATTTCTACATATTTTGGCATAACACAGCTCCATTCTATTTTGTTTTTTATTATAATTGACAAAGGAAATTATTGGTTATACAAGTCACAAACAATTATAGAAAGGAAAAACAGATAACCAAGTAGTAAATAATTTAAGCACCATTTCATTTAGCGAATTCAAATTCTCTGTTCTCATGTGATAACCACAGAACAAAACAAGAGGCCACATTTGGTTTTATATTCTATAGGATGAATGGCCAAGAATTGTGGTTTTATATATTTATATTACAAGGAAAAAGATGCAAATTTTCTGAATGTGAGAAAAATAAAAAAAAATGCGAAATAATTTAATTGCACACTTTGACTTTGAATATCAAAAGCGCACTTATTTTGCATCATGGTGCTGGTTTGACAGTTGGCATTGGTTAAGCGTCCCTGGTAATTATAATGTGATTTGATTTGCTAAGTTTCTTGATTTGAATATTTGTTTTAACTAATGCTTGTATGTTTTGTTATTAAAGTGGTGAATAAATTTTCAAGTCAACCAATTACACCGCATCCTATCGTTCCTCCTGCAATACCTGATAAAGCATCTGCCTTATCTAAGGATTCTCCTCCACTACCAAGGTGAATATAAATCTAGTATATTGTTGGAATCAATCAAATCAATACTGGCTTATTGTATTGGAAGGTATTTAGAAACATGAATTGGAGGATTATAGGTAAAATGATCAAGCATGTTGATTACCACGCTCGTATGCTTCCATCATGCCACCTTGTCTGTTTTCATCATAATTTCCAAATATTTTAGATCTTCGGGTTCCAGTAGTTCCAGACCTAGAAAAGTTCGTGCTATTTATGATTGTGAAGCAGATAATGTTGATGAGCTTACTTTTGTTGAAGATGAAATAATAGTTGTGACAGGTGTGGAAGATCCAGAGTGGTGGGTAAGTGCACAACAACTATCATCACTTTAATGGTTATCAACTAAAGCAAAATTATAATTGCTGATTGATGTAAATGTTTTTCTACCACTCTCATGCAATACGCTTACTCCACCTAAAACTACTTTACTCAAAAATAATTTGAGCAGAAAATTGCTTTATGTAAAAAAATTGGGCTTCTGCCTTGGCAATTTAGACTGTAATCGACCTAGTGTGGATAAATAAAGCAACAATAATGTTCTGGAATTACGGTAAGTTCAAATCAATATCGCCCTAGAACCAAAATAAAAAAAATACAGCCTGACAAAATAGTACTTTCTTTTCAGGTTGGCCACATCGAACATCAACCTCACAGAGCTGGCGTATTTCCTGTCAGTTTCGTACATTTCTTGCCAGATTAATAGATTCCTCAATGAAGCTGCACGCTCTCATATTATTAAGTCATATTTTGCTGAAGCCCTGTACTCAAACCTGAAGCTCAAATCATTTATCTATATTAGTAGCTTCTCCATCTCTTCAGAAAAGTACAGAATATACACTGCTCAATATGAGCATTGGGTGTTTTATAGCAGCCTCCGAAGAAAAGCATAAGTTAGATTTAAATGCAGTTGGGTCTACATGTCTATTAGAATATGTTGTTGGTACCCTGACAACAATATTACTAGGATTCTTCTGTCATTTTGTAGCTTGTCTCGTTATTATAGATAAGATATTCTTTTATCTAGGTCTTTCGAGAGGGTTTTATAATATATTTTTCTATGTGGTTTTTGTTAAACATATCATGATTGATGGATATTGCATTTACCAAGATTCCAACATTCAGACATTTGTGGTAAATTTTGCAAATTACACTAGTTCAAATACACAGAGTTAATTCAATATTTTCTGTTCATTTTTACCTGCATTCCATGACAGGCTGCCATTTCTTATGTAGTTTGCTCAGGGGAAAATGTTACCGGTAGTACCAAATCAGAGTGCTCATATTCGTTGTTATGATATCCATGGCCACAATCACTCATCATCTTGATTTTAGGGGTTGCCTGTAACTGGATTTCATTATCTTTTATTTGCAATTACTGTAGTAAAAAAAGCTAAAATCCTCATTCTGCTTGTTCCGGATTCCCTGAACATCATCACATCAAGCTTCTGTATTTGAGTATATCCCGAGTAAAACTTAGTTTTTAGGTATCATCTGTTGATTGAAATTCACTAAATGAATTCTCTTTCAACAAGCTTTAATATCAGCTTGAAAGTGGCAGTATTTCACGTTAGTGCATATTTATTTTATGAAATAGTTATGAAATGAAAGTTTTTTGTGGTGATATGGATTTTTATGGAGTATGTTAAAACAATGACACAAAGCTGAAATTTTTGAACAAGCGATGTATTATTTGGAATTATTGACATATGACGGGCTGACTTAGAATAGACTGACAATAATAATCTTCCTGCATTATCAAATTCAATCTTCATAAACTTTAATAATATTCTTCATTCAATTAACATGGCCTGATTTGTTAGATATCTAAAACTATTTCTCATATATTTTTATCAGATATAATGTTAGGTTTCAGTCTTTCCTGGCTATTACATGTAGTTGAATATTTCATTCTAAGCTACTAAGAATAAGGGAGTTAGCACCTTTGGTAAAGATAATGCTTTCACGCCATTGGATGGCAAAATCTTTGCATGTTCTGTATGTATTTAACACATAATAATAATTATCATACTCTTAACTCACATAGGAAATAATAAATTTGTTATGGTATTGTTGCCCTCAGTAGGAATGATTATGTGGTGACATATCTATAACCATGTGTATTGTGTTGTTTTCCGACTAACACATTTCAAATTGTATTTGTGCTACAACCTTGTGTATATAAATATATATATCAAACATTACTATTAGTGACATGAATTTATATACTTTAATAATCAGAGAACAAAGTGCTATATTTTAATTTCATAGCAGCATTCTGTGCAATGAACATGTTCAATTAGCTCAACCGATGATGTAAGATCTGAAATATTTATTGGTTGTATTGTTCTGATTGTAAATGAATATGAACAATCAGTGAACCTTCTTTTCTAGACTTGTGTTGTATCTATGCTGTACTGTATACCCATTTTCCTACCTATTATAACGTTCACAATTTACAGATTAATCAGAAACTGCCATTGCATTAATGTTGTCTCAATTGTTTCGTTGGCAATTTATATAGATGAGAGATGCTCAAATTTTAATATGTTAGCTATCCTCATACAAAACCTCACCAGTATTTTTAGCTTCAGTTAAGAAGGTTCTGTAAAATATTATGTGAAATCTGAATCTTATTTGTTCAGTAATTGTAGACCAATGTTCATCAGTGAATGGGAATATGCAGAATATACTGAAATATAACAACAGTAATTAAATACTTTGATTTATTTTGCATCTTTCTGGTTTATGATTGGTTGACATAATGCAAACAGTGGGAGTCGATCCCCAATTGCAATGGGTGGTTGTAAGTAAAATCAGAAGACATTTTAACTTTTATTTGAGCTTGAATTGTGATCGTAAAATATCTCTTGTGAAATTTTGTTTTATCTGTTTTGTGATGTTATATTTTTACCAATGCTTCCTCTATTACAACATGCTAACTAAGAAGACATGGAAATCTTATATGTTGTTCATTTTTGTGATTTTAACGGGAGAAAGATGTCATGGTTTGCAGTTTACAAAAGAGTTTTGGTGAATATGAACCAACGGACGATTCCGTATTTTAAGATTATAACATTGTGCTCGCAGTAAATGGTACAAAGCAGTTAATTAAACAAGTTTCTTGTTTTAGATGTTGAATATGTATATTGAGGGACAACATTTTTTCAAGAGACAAGAGTTTTCGCCATGTTTTTTTATCAGTTTTAGTTGCCATATCCATTTACCGTACTTATTCGATTTCGCTGCATTTTGACCTTTGTGACATGCGATAGTGAAAGTTTCCCGAAAAACTTCGACTTAAATTTATGCTTCGTATGCTCAATGACCCAACCATGATCTAACAATGGAAGTTCTGAAAGCCTCCCAGACACTTTGTTTACTTGGATCTTTTGCGGAAAGCATCCACCAAAAACAGCCTCGCCACCTCTCAAAACAAATAGAAACTATCTAGTTACAATTTTTATTCATTGATGGAATTCAGCGATGTCAGGGTTAGCCAACGCACAATTGCTTAAAACGTGGGGGAGATGTTTTTCTCAAATCTCGCATTAGCGGCGGGTGCTTTCTGCAAAAGATCCATATTTTTGGCGTGGTTGGAAACGTTGCGCAGCTTTCATAGCTTGTTAATAAATAACTAACTATTGGGCGATTCTAGTGCACTTGCAGAAAGCAAGTCTTGCTCTCTGTACTTCTTAATGTCAGCGTCTTCGGCATTTTGAAATTAAATGTAGATTTTCGAAAAATTTAATTCAGGTTGTCACGCGCAAACTCGCGAATACACTTCAGTAATAGCTAATAATTGTGAACTTTTTTGCCAATAGCTCGCGGTCGAGATAATAACCCCTTCCATAGTATTAAATAAGGTAGGCTACTTCTTAACTGTGACCGTTTCTTCTTTGCTTTTTCAATAAATATTTTTCTGGGACATCTTCCAGGTTGGTAAACGACCATTTTCGGGAAATCTTGAATTTCAAAGAAATATTGCCTTGTTTTTACTTGGCCATTCATTAACTACCACGACTCTGTCGATGTTCTAACCATCAAATACATTGTCGCTCATTCACAATGTGATTATGCTTATTACATTCTACATGTTATTTTGCATTACCCAGAAAATAAAAATCGCGGTGTTTTTCAATGAAATTCCCTTCGCGAGGGTACTGTTAATAAAATTTTAGTAAAAGTTTTTTCACTTTCATTCGATTTCTCATTTCAAACCGACTTGCATAAAAATCAAGCTTTGTAGTCTCATTCAATGCAATAATTTTCCCGTATACAAGTATACAACATGTAAAGAAATTAACCCCTAAAGAAAGGTTTGTCTTAATACGGGTTTGGAATTTTAGGTAACAGGTATGCATGCCTGTGCAATAAAAATTATTTCTGAGAGATTTGTTCTTTGACTATGAAGGGCAACATTTGCGGACTCATATCGAACCGGTCTGAATGCAGAAGCTCAAGCGGAATTATAAAAAAAAATACAACCCAACCAGTGCAGAATCAAGTCAATCGTTATTGGCCATGCTTAATTCCCTCCGGACGCTTATGTTTACTTTTCTCACAACACAAACATAACCTGCATTCGGAGTCCGACACCGTGGTAAACAACATTATGTAAATAACGTATATCGGTAAGTAGTGAAAGCTTGTCGAGACTCGATACCAGTTACAGGCTGAAGTCGTAATAGGATAATACGCGGACAATTTTCCTGTATTCTATCATACTCTTAAAGTTCAAGTTAGGATTCCCACCAGTGTTGATGATGTAAAACTTTAGGCACCTAAGAATGCGGAAGTTACTCAAATTATATAATTCATTAGTATGGTTTGCAGTTACATCGAATGAGTTTCAGTCGCATGAAGTCATCAGTCGATTGTATTGTATGATTAGATGAAATATTAGGGCAAAATCAGGAAAAAATAATACAAATCGAAAAACAAAACTAGTTTTATAGTTTTTATCGACAATGAAGAGTCTTACAAGTATTTTCGAATTTTAATTCACGAAACATCAAATGAATATTTTAAATCCAAGCACAACGCTCATGAGATAATGTATTGTAAAGAGTGAATACCTGTATATAATATCATGAATAAAATATCACATGCAGTTCAAATATTATAATTGATCACATTTTCTGAAACTTTATTTAGTGATATTTTTACAGTTTCAAAAAGGCATAGCCACGACAGAATCGGCATTGAGGAAAACAAAATTACGTATTACGTATCAGGCATTTTAGGCACATCTCGTTCAGTTAGATCAAGGTAAACCAAATCGGTTACAAATAGTGCTGCGATAGATGGGAATTTATCTCTCTTTGCATATATACAGCCATAACTCATACTTATTTAGCCAAACTTCATTGTAGATGATGCCAAAATTCATTACACTAAATACTGGAAGTAAAATGCCTGTCACAGGTCTAGGGACTTCGCTCTCCAAACCCCAAGATCTGAAAAATGCTGTTAAATATGCAATCAGCGTGGGATATCGCCACTTTGATTGTGCTGCAATATATTGCAACGAAGATATCATTGGCGATGCGATAAATGACGCCATCAGCAAAGGGGATGTTAAAAGAAGTGATTTGTTTATAACAAGCAAACTTTGGTCTGCGTTCCAATCACCTGAACATGTTAAAGAAGGTTTAGCTTTAAGTCTTCGCAAGCTAAAGCTGGATTATTTGGATTTGTTTTTGATACATTGGCCCTTTGGACTGAAATACGATGGAAAGGCTCTTAAACGAGGTTCTCATTCGCCATTCGATGAGTCAATAGATTACGTTGATACGTGGAAGGTTTTTGAAGAGATTTATAAATCTGGTGAAGTTCGAGCAATCGGGATATCAAATTTTAACCTCGACCAACTCAGTCGTCTGCTAGGTCATGCACAAGTCATTCCCGCAGTACATCAGATAGAATTTCATCCTTATTTGGATCAAAAACAAATGCTGGACTTTTGCAAGTCAAAAGGAATAGCAGTCACATCATACAGTCCTTTTGCATCTCCTGGTAGACCATGGGTCATAAAAGCAGGAATAAACGTTCTCGATGATCCCGTCTTGAAACAGTTGGCGGAAAAATATAAAAAATCAGTTGGACAAGTCATAATTCGGTACTTGGTAAACAGAGGCACGTCAGTCATTCCTAAAAGTGTAAATCCCAGAAGAATCCAGGAAAATTTCGAAATATTTGACTTCTCTCTTGAAGACCTTGACCTTGTCAAGATCAAAGAACTCGATAGGCATTTGAGAATAATGCCCTGCAAAGATTCCTTTTTCGAAACTCATAAATATTTTCCATTTGATCCCGCGGAACTCTTGCCACAATAGACAGAAAAAATGTTTTTGTGATTATATTTTATGCTATTCTATATGTTATTTTGCATTACCAGAATATAATAATCGCGGTGTTTTTCAATGAAATTTCTATTGCGACGGTACTGTTGAAAAAATTTTTAGTAAAAGTTTTTTCACTTTTGATCGATTCCTCATTTTAAATGAATCACAATCAAGCTTTGTAGTCTCATTATTCAACCTAGGTAGAACCGGAAACGGCGAATCCCTGTTGGACGACGAATAGAATGAAAAAATATCCATCATCGAGTAATGTCTAGCAAGAAAATTATCTAACAATCGATAAAGCTGCAGTAGTTTCAATTCTACGACACGAATCGGGCGAATAGGCCCTGCTTAAAATGCAATAACTTTTCCGTATAAAAGCAGCATGTAAAGAAATTAACCAATAAAGAAAGGTTTGTCTTAATACGGAGATAGAATTTTACATAACAGCTATGTCTGTGCAATAAAAAATATTTCTGAGAGATTTGTTCTTTGACTATGAAGGGCAACATTTGCGATTTCATATCGAATCAGGTCTGTATACAGAAGCTCAAGCGGAAATATGAAAAAAATACAATCCAACCGGTGCAGAATCAAGTCAATCGCTACCCGCCGATCTGCTGGATGCTCAGCTAACACCTAAACATTCCGATGTGATTAAGACTTGTCATTTCCGCTACTAATGTCCGTCAAAATCCCTATCAATAAAACTGGAGATTTCAATAGAAATCCCAATGAGGGCCACGAATATAGGAATAAAAAAGAAATATACAAGAGCTCCTAGGGAAATCCGGACTTAACTAGGCCCAGGTGAATACTCAGGCTTGTTCATGGGACAAAAATTTTCTGTGCCGCCCCATCCCCAAGGCCGTTTTCCATGGTCAAGTCTGGGAAATCCCATTCTCATGTACAACCCTGCAAATGTCCCACCACAAAATAAAAAATAGATACAGGTATATGGGGAAAATGGAGGGTAAAAAAACATTTGAATGGTAAAAAATTATAAAGACTAAAGTCGACTCTGACGTAATCAAGTAGCTATAGCATGGCTAAACTACTGACTCGTGTAAATGTAAATGTGTGCTGCCCATCTCTTTTCATTCAGTCTAAATATTCAGCTGAGGGACTGGTATGTTTTATGAGAAATATCCGAAACGCGCTGATTACAGGCTTTCCTGTGTTGGGGTGTAACGATCACATTAAATCTAGTTTGGCAAAGGTTTATATGTTAAGTAAGAAATATACGGAGTAATCTTAGTGTGTCCCTTGTGTACGATATGGATTTTTGATGTGACACAACACGAAACGTGCCTCTGATATGTGATTAGTCACCCCTAACTCTATCAGAAGATTAAACCCCGAAAAACATCAAGGTTGGTAAACAATATTATGGAATCTACGGCTCGATTGACAAAACAATAGGCATGGTAAAAGAAATAACTAGAGATTCACTGTTAACACCAAAAATAAAACACAATGATCAACAACTATTGCCTTTCGTTACTAATTACCATCCTAATCAACCAAACTTCGGAAACATTTTCTCTAAATATCAATACATACTAGACAACAACGAAAGACTGAGAAACATCTTCCCGGCACGCCCCCAAAATTGCATACAGAAAGTGCCCAACATTACGGGACAGACTAGTTCGGGCCAAGTTGAAACCGGAATCATCAAGAGAAGTAAAATCAGGCTTCTATAAATGCAACAGGAAATCATACTCAACCTGCAAATATTCAGAGGAAACTAAAACAAGCATTAGCAGCGTCACAAGACTTCAAATGAACATCAATCAAAGAATAACGTGCAATTCAGAAAATGTCATATACCTGATAACCTGTAGAAAATGTGGCATGCAGTACGTCGGTGAAACAGGCAGACATTTAAAATACAGAATTACAGAACACATTAGAAGCATCAATCAAAAAAACAAAGATCTTGCAGTTGGCAAACATTTCAATCAATCAGGCCATTCCATCAACGACTTTCTGGTAATTGGAATAGAAAAACTATATCGAGATCAAGTATACCGGCAAACGAAAGAAACCTATTTTATTAACAAATTCAAAACATTAGAACCACTAGGGATGAATTTAAAAGATGGATAAATTCACAATTTATGCTAATTTGAACATTACATTTCATTGTCACTTACACTTGATTTCTATTTCGCGGTTATGTTCATTTACTTAGATTGCAGCCATGACCCTTAATGAACTTAGGAGATACCACAGTCGGAGTTACGGGATAACAGCATGAAATTGTTTAACTTTCTTTTTAATTGTCACTCACTACACTGTGGGGTATCTATTGATTTTAAATCAAATTTAGCTTCCCGATTGTTCTGGCACTGTCCCAATTTTATTTATATCTCTCTATCGCAAACAGACCCAACATTTGAAACCAATATTTATGTGCATGCAATTGCGTTTCTTGTTATAGTTGTAAAATGCTTGTCTGAAGAAGTCTGACCTCGGTCAGACGAAACGTTACAGAAATATATTTGTGTTCGTGTGCAGCAAGACTTTTGAATTGAATAGAATAGCCATTTACACTCTTGCTACAGCATCCTTGCGTAATAAGCATACGGATCCATCTGCGCAAAGGCATAGAGAGCAAGGAAAGGTAGTTAGTTTCACGCAACCTCAACTGTTAGTCACATAGAAAATGCTTGTTGTAAATTAATAGAATTCGTGGAATTGAATAATAATTCTTTTACCCCTTACCTCTTACTTTTGATGCTTTTATCCCTGCGAACTGCTTTCAGTGTAAAATGCAGTGGCGGCGCGTGGTCATTTTGACAACCGGGGCAAGCTACTGCGGGACCAAGTCACCCCCATCTACGGGGACAGGATGAGCGCTGTAAGTTCTCCCATCATTTTATGAGTATAAAAACCATTCCATCGGTAACAACCAATCGGCAAAAGCGACAATTTTTAACGATAAGAAAGTGTCTTTAAAACCGGTCCAAGTCAAGGGATTAATAAATATAGACATAGTTTATTTTGAAACCGCTTTCAAAAGGAAAGGCAATATTTACCCAGATAAATACAATGACATATTAACAGAAACTTCGGGAAAGCAGACAAAACCTAAAATAAGGTTTAAAACGTTACTATGAAGAAAGGAAAAATAATGCAAAGATAAGGACATGCGTCGCTCACTCATAGATATATATGCTGCTAGACTTCTACTGCTTGAACATATATGCAACACGCCGCGGTTTCTTGGAAGCAAAATGCTCAATAACGCGCTGATTAAAGTCATGCATCCCAGACATAACGTCTCTGTGGATGGATAAAACAGCCAAGAAATTTAATCTATCTTGCTTCATTGTGTTTCTGAGATACGTTTTAATACGCTTCAGCGTGCTGAATGTTCGCTCTGCTTCGGCGAAAGAAATAGGCGTCGTCAAAATGATGTTCAGAAATTTTGCAGACGCCGCAAAGGTAGTTACTAGAGTGTTATCTATGAGGAACCCATAGAGCGCGCAAGTTGATGTGATGTTCAAAAAAGTTTGATTGGTGTATATATAGGCTTACCATATATCTGAAACAAAAAACCGGGACGGTGCGATTTGGCAAACATTCAGTCTATTGCCAATCTTAGTAATATTAAAACTTCTACCATGCCATTGAGGGTATATACAGCTGTTAATCTTTACTGGTCTTTAAATTAGGAAAACACAAAAAATTAGTTTGTATTATTTATTTAGACCAAAAGTATTTGTCCGCAGAAAGAACGCTTCTTAAAAATACTTGGTTCGATTTGATTTTGTCATAAAACTGATAACATGGCAGATCCCCATTAATTTTGCAAGGGACGAGTGCTAATATTTTCTTCTAGCATTCCGCCCCTGCTTTCAGACCAAAAAATTTTAACAATTGAGAAAAGCCGTTCATCAGATGCCGATGTTTCAGGCAAACAAAATACAAATTCAATAATTTTCGGCAAATTCAAAATACTAATGTTTTTGCTTGAAAAATTCTTGAACATTTCTATCCACTTATCCTCAACGGGCAAAGTAAGCCAAATTGCATTTGATCTATGCTCGGATAAATATTTCTTTATCCATCGCTTGCGATGGAATAAACACACTTTCCATTTTTTCTTGCTTCAACTCAGGCAAAATATTTGCAACATCTACAGCATTAGTATTATCTTTTTCCAAAATGAGAACAATTTTGAAGTAGGTGAGCTGGCCAAGGACAAATTTCAAGTAAAGTTCGTACGCTGGATCGTCGAAACATTTTTGTAGAAGAGTCGGGCATCCTTCTAGAGAATTGAAATAACTTTTCAAGCCTTCAATTTCCGTAATCCTCTACAGAGCAGGTAATAATGAGAGAAACCGAATGTTGCCATGCTGCAATAGCCGTTGATATTCAATATCAACAAAGTCGCAGAATGATTTCAGTTCTGTTACTCGGACAGTGTAAATGTAAAATTTGTGCTTTCTTTCAGTTTGAAATAAACAATATTTGTACCGCGTCTTTTTACGCCTCCTACGTAGGTGTTGCAGTTATCCGCACAGAATCCAACAACTCTTCCTTTCAAATGTTTTTGATCGAGAACAGAGAGCAAGTATTCAGTAAAAGTTTCGGCGGTTTCCCCGGGTAAACATTTGAATTCTAATAGTTTTTTTCACACCAACATCAGGTAAAAAATAACGAACCACAACTGGAACAAGCTATAAATCTTTTCTGCTTAATGCACCGATGGTTACTGATACGAGTTCAGAGGATAGCAGTGGAGCAATGCAATTAACAATCACCGACTCGCATTTAGTTCTGGCTAATGCAAATTTAGGCTAAAAAAAATTTGAAATTAAGTTAGAGGTGCAGTGAAAACTTTGGCCATGAACAGCAGTATGATAGGCAACTGTGGCCTTTTGGCTGCCAAAAACAAAGAATCTTTCGAATTTATTATCGCAAAGAAGTTGGTGAGTCGAGCCGATAATGATTGGTGCTTCTTGCTTTGGAGATGATCG